CAGATAAAGAGACTGGGAGTGAAAGGATGGGAATGAATGGAAAACTGCTTTCCAGATAAACAAACAAGACAAGTATATGGCAACAACTCGAGAAAAGGTCAGCCTTACAATTTGGAATCATCATCATGATTCTTTACATGAGAGGGAAGCGATATCAGGGAGAAGAGCACAGGGAATGGAATAATGAAGAGGCAAAGAAAAGAAGCTGCTAAAAAAAGAATGAGTTTCCATGTAATACTTATCGTGAGAAAATTATGAATATCAAGTTTCCAAAAATTATCATATGAGCTGTTATAAATTAATATCAGTTTCACAGGGAATGATAATCTAATAATAGTGATAATAGTGGTTTAGATAATAGATCAAATTGTATGGATAATAATAATGATCAGAGAAAAAAGCATTTTTCTCCTCATCATTTGGTAAACAGAAAAGGATGCAAGAATTGTTGGGAAATGATAATAATCCGACAAACAAAACTGGAGTCATTCAAGGTCATTCGTTCATACATTTCAGGCAATCAGTTGACTTTCAACAACAGAAAATTAAAAATTGCAGTTCACCATAACCATAAGTCTGATTAGTTGTCTTAATGTTCTAGAAGCTAAAATAAGCTAAAATAAAATAAGCAATTATTTTGAACAGTTAGTCATTTTGAAAATTTACTTTCTGGTTTGGTGTATAAAAATTTTTTAGACAAACCACAAAACGAAACAAAAAAATTATGAAAAATTCATCCATCATATGCATATCGTGTCGATTTGCAAATGATAGTAGATTGGCTTATGATATAATTTTTGAGTCACTAACAGCTGAAGTTTTTTTTTGCTATCCATCTTGATGTATTGTATCATTTTATTGCGCCCTTTTCTTCTTGTCCATTATGTATCTACAGAGGTAATTCTCCAATCCAATATTTTGTATCTCAATTCAAATCACATTCGCAATTTTAAAAATAATCTATACAATATATAAAGTAAAAACATGAAATTTTTGAGCAAAGATTTTGGCCAAACTACAGGGTTCCTACGCTATTTTGGATAATTGACCATAGATGGTGTTAAATCACATTATAAAATTTTTAACAATTGACCGATATCAATCAACATCTAGCTCACAAGTCGAGTCAGTTCTTACTAGTTAACTATTAGTAAAATTTTTATTGAAATTTAAGGTAATTTTTTTTGTACAGGGCATTTTAGCTAATTTTCTCATTGTAAATTGGCTATATCTTTGCTCCTGAGTGACCTAGAGGTTATATATTTTGTTTATGGGAATTCGGGCGGAACTCAATTGTCATATTTCAAGGGCAAGGTCATTCAAGGTCATCGCTTTATTTGACCTCTAAGTAATGTTTGGAGGTCATTTTCTAGGATTGCAATAATTTTCAGATTAGTGGCATGTTCATAACTTTTTCTGGCCAAAAGATATGAGTGTTCACACATTGTTGTGTTGATCAATTGGTTTTAAGAAAAATGCATTAAAATGTAACTAATGCAATGTAATGCATTAAAGATACTAACTCGTAGTAAGCATCAACAATTCTGAAATTTTTGCACTCTTAGAAAATGACCTCCAAATATCAGGTAGAGATCAAATAATGTAATGACCTTGAATGACCTTGACAATTGAGTATCGACTAAATTTCAAGTAACAAAATATCTAACCTATAGGTCACTCAAGGGCAAAGATATAGCCAATTTACATCGAAAAATTAGCTGAAATGCCCTGTAAATTAAATGTTGAGTGTTAGGTTACAGCTGAAGACTTTCAACCTGGTGAAACTTTTTATTATAATTAAGCCGGATCAAAAAGGATAGACAATTTTTTTAAGTGATATATTTTTACAGAACGAATCGCGGTTTTGGTGTCGTATATCTTACTGTATCTATTTGCGCGCTTGTAAATCATAACTACACATAATCAATCGGTCATTCGACCTCGTATTGACATTGGATGCTCATTCTCTAAGTTCACGATTTTTTTCAGATCGGTTAGTGTTTGTTAGGTTTTCTAACTTGTGGATTTTAGCGATTCTATTACGTTCAATCAATCAGTTGAATTGAAAAAATTCAGTTATCTTTCCAATGGTAAAAGTTATGAATATGAGTTTGAGCACAAACGATCTGAAAAATCTATAATCTATAATCCAATGTCAATTTGAGGTCAAATGACGGATTTACCTTGAATGACCTTGTCTTTAGCATTTATAGCTCTTCAATCTGCGGAAGCTCATGGTTTAAGTCTGAAGTCTGTAGCACCAATCGATTGTGAGCTATGGCTGTAAACAGGCGCAAAATTAAAAAAACATTCGGTACAAATTAATGTAGACTGCCTGAAAGTGAGGAAATTGGCTTTGCTTTCAAAATTGATTGTAATTTTGAAGATGCGACAGGAAAGTTGAGTGAATCAAAAGTGTATTAAACTCATCCAACACAGCTAACAAATGATTCACTATCATTTTGATACAAGTAAATGAAGTCGAGATGAACACAGTGTGAACAAATTGTGTTAACTAATGGCTAAGTCTATCTGTCTATGAATGAATGAAATAAACTGTTGAAAATAATACTATTGGCAAAAGTAACTTGTAATGATATTTCTGTATGAATAAATGTCACACTTGCCTCTCAACTTTTCCCTTTCAATGTGACTTCATTTTCAGATTACAATTACAATGTAATATCAACAGCATTAATAGTATCGAGTTTAAATGGCAAAAATTACCAACTCTACCAGTTCAATCATCGGACAATCATTAAATAGTAATTTACACCAAAAGAAGTTGACCAAAGAAGAAGAAACGATTCCAACTCTTGCAATCATTAGAGATTTTGGCTCAACAGAAGACAATTTTTCCTATCCATTCTCCTGTCCATCCGATTTCAACATGAAATATTACTTGAAGCAGAACGTCATTGAGATTAATTTGAAATCGGCAAAATTCAATCATTCAACGCAAATAATAAACTCGACTTTGATTGTTTAATCTCGACATTTAAATACAGAAATGAAACATTTTTGCAAGAATGTTTCAATTTACATTTCAACCCTTTTCTTTACAAGCAATTTTGTTGCTCTTCAGTGAATCCGAATAAGGTGAAATAAAGAAGTCAAAATTGTTCAAATGCTTTGAGCAAAAGAAGCAAAGAATCAAAAATGAAGAATAGAAAAGAAGAGAAAAAATTGTTCGACAATCTACTTCTATTGATACAAGTAAAGCTTTACAATCATTATTTATTCATTGCAATATTTGTTACCATTAATGATTCAATATAAAGTCAATTTTGTTGAGACGATGTAAGATGAATCCCAATGAAAGTGGATAAAATATAATGAAATGTGAAATTAAAAGTAAACAAAATGAAGAGTAAACTTTAAACCTTAAACCTTTCAATATTTTATCGTCGCATTTACCTAGAAAGACAAACTTGCAACATTATATCGATAATTGAATTTCAAGAAAATTATTGAACACACAAAAAAAGATGAACAAGAAAATACGAAAAAAGTATAAAAAAAAGTAAATCGAACCAAGTATCACTAACTGAAAGAGTAAATATGGGAAAACATTTGTATCATTGGATTCAATGAGAAATGCAATTTTATAGAAATGATTAAATTGTCGATTCGCTATCAGATTAATTTGTTTTTTTTGTTTCGTTCTTTTCCTCTTTTCTCTTGTGTCAAGATTTTCTGCTTTTACCTGTTTTCAGGGTTTACTATTTGTTCAACTTGTCAACTCTCTTTGAGCTATAAATAAACTTTCACTAATTAATTGGTTAAATTTAATCAAGTTAATCAGATTACCAATGACTTGAATTGATTCATAGGGTTCACTGGGAGTGAAAAATATCAAAATGTTTGGTGGAAACATTTCTCTTCGTTTGTTCTGTTCATTTCAACTCGAAACAAAACAGATAAACTTAAAGGTTAATGAGAAACTAGTTGTAAATGGAAATGATGATTGGTAGTGAGATTGAGATACAATGGGATGGAGAAAGGGTTAAACAAATTAACAACAATTTCGGTTGCTACTTTGGTCATGTTTGTAGTCTTAGCCATTGGTCAAGGACATAAATCTCTCGAGATTGGACAATCTTATTTTCTTCTTGTTTCACTTTCAATTATTTTTGCCAATGGAAATTTATTTGATTCTGTGAGAAGAAGAAGAGAAGATGGAAAGAAGAAAGATTAACGTAATTCACTCGTTTATCACTACATCAGTATTTATTGCTTTTTCAATCTAATTAAAGACTTTTTTGTCTCTTCATCGAGAACATTGAGTTTTAAATGAATTACATTTCATTACAAAAACCTCATTCATTCGCTGCCACTTTTGCTATCATTAACATTGTGTCAGCACTTTTGCTCGATAAATTTTGTACAACAAACATTAAGACACAAGTTTCACCATTATTTGCACAAAGACACACAGCCTCGTTGGTTTCTCAGATTAAAATTGCTGTCCATTAAGAAAAATACATTCTTATTGAGCTTATCCCAAGATGGGTCCGACCTCAGATAATATTAAAACTTTAATGTGATATAAATTTTTATGCGTGCTTTTTGCACTTAGCGACTTTTATTGGGGAAATTTTCCGTTCACTGATTATCGTCACATCAGTCGTTCGTTAGTTATGATAAAAGTGTTGGAATAAAAAATCCCATTTTTTGCATTTCAAACAAATGTGCTTACACTTGTTGATATTGAAAGTTTACCTGAAAAGGAAGTTGAAGCAAAAAGTTAAAAATAAAGTTGACAATAAATTTAAATTATTAGCAACTTTTTTCTCTCTAAATAACCAAATAAAAAAGTCGACGAAAAGTTGAAGCCAAACATTAGAATGAAAAACTTCTCACAATTAATTGACTTTTAATAGATAATGATTTTGTCATTAATTCACCGCAAACAAACAAATTACAAAATAATGATAATCTGTAAACATTAAAGTTGCAAAAAGTAAACTAAAATTTATCTCTTTTTCCTCTTAACCCAGACTTTGGAGCCATAAAGAGTGCCAAATTGTGTTCCGTAATTTAACCTTCATCAGATGCTCTTGCTCTGAACTTGGTATATTTGGAGTTGTTCAAGTGAAAAGTTTAACCTCCCAACAGCATTCATTCAACCATCACAATCAATGTCATTTTAATTCTCTTATAATTTACCTTTCCTCGGGATTGAGTTTAATTTTTATTCTGGTAACCATGGCTGGACAAGTAGTGATCATGGTTAAATCGCCGAATAACAGAAAATCTTGTTACATTCTACTCAATCTGTTGACCTGTTTAGCATTGATTGAGATTATTTTTCTGTTCGGTGGACCCTTCCAGTCATCCTCATCTTCATCCTCCTTTCCACCTTCCCTGGCCAGTTCACTGCCATCAATTAGTAAATCCTTTTCATCGGCATTCATTGTTGATGCAATAAATTTTGCTACACCTTGTAAGATGATCTCAATGGTTCTTCACTATTTACATCTTGTTGTATCATTTACAATGTTAACTTATTCAATTTATTTGTACAACAAACTTTGGCATTACCAAGATATAATCACACCTGATAATAATAACAATGAGGTAATTTGTTATCCAGATAATGGTTCACTCTTACCAATTACAGTGACCAACAATGGTCAATCATTTTCATCCAGTGAATCCTTACCAGCAACTCGTCAAAATTATTACCAACAATATCATCATCAACATCAGCAACAACAGTCGATCCAACAAACACAAAGTTTCTCAAGTTATTCTTCTTTTCCCTACTTTTTCTCTTCATCACCATCATCTTCACCAACACAATCCTCATCATCATCATCAACCTCATCCAATTGTTCATCATCGTCCTCATCATCAACTTCACCAACTTCTTGTGAGAAAGCCTTAATCTCTTGGAATCAGCCCAATCTTCATAAAGAACCAGATTCTCAACGAATCATCAATTTACTTTTATTCACTTGGATTGCATCCTTACTTTGTGTTATTACATCCAACATTATCAATCCACTTGGATATGAGACTAAAAGATAGTAAGTTGCCAACTCAAATTCAATTTTTATTCCCTTCATTAACTAAACAGTGAAAACACCAGTAAAAGTTGATTCAACAAATCTAGCCATTCACATAATGTCCAAGATCCAAATTAAGACATTTCGTTTTCTTTCAAAGTTAAACTCATTTTCAAAAATGTAAACTCATGTCAAGCCAAGCTTATGTCTTTACATTTTGTATCGCCATTTTTCAAGTTGAGTTTTGTCTTTTGATAAACTGGCCAATTCTCAACAGGAAATCAATCCTTAATCTTTTGATTCATGGAATCGTTGAGCTCAGTCATTGTTGACAAATCCAAGTCTTGTTAGTCTCATTTTAAATGCGATTCAACTCGCAATCTGATCAGCATTTTAAATAAGCGATATTATCCTTTGGATAAAAAAATGATTATTGTGATAAAACTTGAGCTAATGGAAAATCAATTTTATGAAAAGTTCTGATTCTACAACCAAGTTTGATTTCTGACATCCATCGAAAAATACTGATTCAGTGGACTCAGTCTGACCATAAACCCTATCTCTTGCCTCGAAAGTTTTTGCATTCATTTCTTTCGAGGTTAACACTGGTTTTGCGGTAGATTTGCTAATCAGTCTTAAGGAGTCAACGGTACATGACCAAGCATCTGCCTTGTGACTCCTTTATGATGGCCTAACCCTTAGATGCTTGCAAAGCTCGTTAACAGTTTGAGTACAAATAAGTCCATCATGTTGTATTCAATTGCCAACATTGTCATGTATCATTAGATGCACCTTGAATGATGCAAAAAGAAAGTGACCAAAAAGTAATTGAATGAGTGTAGATTAAAAAAAAGTGTTGCCAAAACTTTGCTTTATACCTTCACTTGGGACCAATTATTTATTACAAGAGACTCTGTTATTGATGAGGAAAAAGTGAACTAAATTTGGAATGAAAATGAGCCTAAAATGTCAGAGGAGAGACAACAACGAATGTCTATCAATTGAAACGACAAACGAATATTTTAAAAGCATTTTTAGCAAACATGATTTCCACAACCTTTCTTGTCATTACTTTAAAGTAAAATGTAAATGCCAAGTGAAGTGACATTTGAAATGAAAACACTTGACCATCAATTAAACGTTCAATTGAGACGAGTGAAACATAAATGTTTATCTCATTCATCATCGACTGTCAGATATTAATCATGTTTTCCAATTTAATTTAAGCATCATGAAAGTGCTTGGATTGGTAAAACAGTGGAACCTTTTTTCTTCTTCTTCTTCTTCTTGATAAATTTCTTTCCTTTTTCCTTCCAATTTTCCAAGTGAAGATGAAATAAAATAGAACCGGAACTCAATCAAGGAATCAAATTATAGATCCAACAAAATTTTCATCCCCATCATCAGAATCTTCTTAACTTTTTTTTGCCTTCTTCTTCATTCTCTTCACCAAATCATGTCCGCTCAAGAATCAAGTATAACAAGGGATGCAACTTTACTTCTCCTTGTTCAAGTCAAAAATGTAGGGAAAGAAAACAGTTCATAAGGCGTAAAAAGATGATGAGAAGAAGGAGAAGCCAAAACTTTTCATGATAATGATGATGAGCAAAGGAAAAGCTAGTTTTTTTCGTGCGATTCTTTCTTCTTCTTCATCTTCATCCACCAACTCGCATTAGTTAAACCTTTTTTTTCGCCTTTTCCTCTTCTCCATTCATGATCATCTTTAGTGGTGAGAAGCACAAAAAGAGACTCGAAATGAGATGAAATCCATCAGACTCAACAGGGTAAATGAGGTTTACAAAAGTGAGATAGAAATTTCCTTGTGAATCCTTTTCCAATTGAGACATTTTACCGGTTCACTGAATTGAATGGACAATGTTGAATGAATCAAGCTTAAATAACGGTCAACTTAAAGATGGACAAAAAGGCAAAAGGCAAATATTTTCTCATCAAACGTTAACCAAACGAAAGAAGAAGAAAAGTCGATAATTTTCGATCAAATGATTATGGAATTTCACAAATTTCTCGATTAAACGTAAATGCAATTTCATGAATAGAAATCATTCAATCTCAGAGACTAGAAACCCAAGCCCGAGATGTCTTAATATCATTCACTTGAAGTCAACTAACGACCAATTCAAAGTTAAAATTCGAGTTTTAATGAAGACTGAAAGTTTTCTTTTCGGTCAAGAAAATAATTCCAATGAACATGAGAAGAACTTTGGGTTTTTCTTCCAATAATTTGTGTGTTTTTAAGGCAATAATGGGTCATTACCTGAAATTATTATCCGACTGAGAATGAAAGAAATGTTGAGCAAATGAAAATGAATTTTGCGTTGTTTAGTCAAATTTGTTTTCCAATTTTGGGTTTCACTTTTTTCCTCTTCTTCTTTACCTTTTTGCTTAATAGTTGCGATTATTTGTTGAGCAAATAATAATCGTCATTAGAGTATAAATTGTAATTACAAATGCATAATAGCAAGTAAATAGTGAAAGTATAAAAAAGCAAATTTGGAACAAGAAAAAAAACTTTAAAATCTCTTCTCAACTTTTCAACATCATTTATTTTTCCTTCAGAATTGAACTTTAAAAACTTCATTTTTCTTGTTTTGCCTTCTTCTCCTCTTCAACTTCATTCCCTGTAACTTTGAGATGAAAATTAATTTTTTTTTGTTTCAATTATTTTCGCCACTTTGAATAATTTCAACAGCTTTCTTGTTTGCGCACTTTTACAAGCCAAATTGCGATTTCATTTCAAGTAAAACTCATTTGTTTCAATTTTCATGATTGACAATTTATTTTCGTTTGTTGCTCTGCCTTAGACCGGGTTGAAAGATGATTAAATTATCGATAATTTAACCGAGCATTACAACTTTAATTGTAAACTGTTTGGCAACTTGAAGTTGTAGGAACACGAATTTTTTGCACACTCGCTTGTTGTACAAGTTAGTCTTAGTTGCTCATCAAAATGCAAATTAACTGTACAAGTTGAGATCTTTTTACTTCTTTTTTGTTTTCTGTTTCCCTTTTTTTCTGCTTTTCATTTGATGATATTCTTGATGAAACTATTAACGCAAAGTTTTGTACAATTTACTTTTGAATCATGTTTCCAAGTCTAGTAGTTTATCTCGCTTGAAAAATGGCTTTTGTGAGATTACAATTTCGCAAAATGAAATCAACTTTTAAGTTGTTGTAAAAAGAGTTCAACTCCTTTAGGATAAAAATGTTGAACCATTCAATTTATTAAAATGAGAAAACATTTATAAACGCAAAATGAAAACTGACACATTTAACATTGCCATGAATGACGCGTAAATGATTGATTCAAAGGAGACAATCAATAAACTGTGAAAATTCGTTCAACTGCTTTTACTTCAATTTTTATTGCCTTCAGATTACCAATCGATTGACATTTATGCAAATTTGTTAGTCTTTATTGCTGTTAATAAAGGCTTTTCGAGATTGTCTTGCAAATGCTGACAAACTTTGAATTTGATTCGTATTCGAAGTTCATTTTCCGAAATCCCAACTTTTACTACTTTTCTTTAACTTTTACACATTAGCTAATTAGCCATTCAGACAAGTCTGGCATTTTCATTTCTTCAGACTCAGATTCTTTACTATTAATAATGTGAAAAGCATTTTCGATTTTCATCTTTTATTCCAAAAGTCAACCTCTTTTGTTACTTTTAAGACTAAATGAAAGATAAGTCGAAATGCGAAAAGTCAAGTTACATTGAATGCACTCACTGATTCCATTGTTGATTGATGGCTTTTTAATAATTACAAGTTGCTGGAAGCATTTCATGGATAAAAATGAAACAATTATTTTTGCTGCAAATGCATTAACATTGCAAGTGTTTAAAGTAAATTATCATTCTTATAATAATCCTGCTGAGCGTAAATTGAATGGCGATATTTGAACCCTCATTTTCATGGTTTACTTATAAAACTTTTATTTTCATTATCATTGTTTCTTATTATATCTCATCAGTCGAGAGTCACAATGAAAAAAGCAAAAGATTTCTTGTTATTCATTTTTTCTCTCCCTTAATGCATCTTATCATATTTATACAAATATCTTACTTATCTTTGCTTCACTGGTAATATTTGTCTTTATATACTTTTATTTTTCCAATTCAATGAATTCACCATTTTTCCAGTAATCATCCAAATGATGATAATGATGATTATGAGAATAAGGAAGAGAGAGAAATCCTTGGAATGAACAAGAACTAAAAGGATGCAAAAGATGAGAAATAACATGGCAATGGATTGAACCAAAAGGAAACTTAAATAATGTTTCAATTCCCAGAACAGAAATGAATAATCATTCAGCATTCAAATAAAACTTTTTTTTCACCGAATTATTACATTCCATTTTTTCCTTTCCTCATCTTGAATCAACTTTTTACTCCTTTTATCATTCAATTTTAACTTGTTATTGATAATTTCAAAACAACATTCAAAACATCAAGTGTTTTCCATGTAATTCAAATTTTCACCTCTTCTCAACTTTGCATTCATTTTTCTTCCAAAATCCCAAAACTGAAAAAACATTTTCACCTTATTTTCACACTCGCAACCCAACATCAATTTCACAAACAGAAACGATTAACTTCAAATTTCCAATCTTGCAATATTTCAAATTATTATATTTCTTCAAAGTCTTTAAAAATCCAAAAACAGAAAAACAAGAATTTTTTTAAAAAATCGTTAAAAACTTTCTCAACGAAAAACCGAATGAAACGAAAAAAAGAACAGAAAACTCGTTTCTCCGATTCTGCAAGTTTCGCTTCATTATTTGCCACCGATCCATCCAGTCACTTGTCAACGTTCAAAGGGAATATTTTTTCCTCGAGAAAAAAATTTCATTTTTTCTTGAAACTTTTCGAAAAATCGAAACAGATAATTTTTAAAGAATTGAAATTTTCCATTTTTCGGCCGAAGTTGAAACTTGTATTGAAATCTGTTAGAATTTGATTGGAAATTCCAAGTTTCTAAAGCAAAACTTTTTCTTC